ACCAGCTAACACCACCACTAGGGGTTGACATGCATAGGTGGGAGGAGTTACGGTGCTAATTGTACAAGAGTTAGCACCGTCCTAACCAAGGGTTAGTAGTGATTTAGCTTAGTTGTTGTATTGATTTTATAATAATCTGTAGTGATTTCGTTGTTTTTAGTAGCGTTTTTTGCTAGTTATCACGGTGCTAACCCCTATAAGGGTTAGCACCTAATCCCATCCCTGCATAGGTCGGTTGTATCGTTATAGATAAATTTTAACTGCCCAATCAATGAGTCTCGTGTTTAATGATGGTGAACTCAAACATGGTCATAAATTTCAAGATCTTAAGGTTTTTTTGTCACGGTTTGGGTCGGGTTGGATGAAAATTCAATTCATTATATGTGAACAAAATTTATACTTTAATAGTTATATAAAAAGATGTATAATAGGACACTATATGAAACTATGAAACAAGTTACATATTGTAGGAACATATTGCATTCATACTTATAAGATAATACAAGAATAAAAAATATTTTAATTATCAATACATTATTGTAAACTCAGACATTACATAAAGATAGGATGCGAAAATAAATATATATGTTGAGAAATACTTTGATAAATAATTCGCTTTCAATTTATCAACTCTAACGCAACTATGTGAACAAACGATATGTTAAGAAATACTTTGATACATAAAGATTGCATGTCACACGACGTCGCTTTTCCCTTTGCTTTGTGAAATGCGTTTTTTTTTTCTTCCGGATTTCTTCTTCTCCTAATTCTATTTTTGGAATTGTAAGTTGAACATTCGAATATTGTTGTTATATAAGTGTGTGAACTTGCACTATATGTTGGATATAAGTATGTTCTGTTATTTTGGTGTAATGTTTAGTGTTATTACTCATACGTTAGATGATGAAATTTTATATAATTTATAAATGTATGATCAATATAATGACTTTTTCATATATCCAAACTAAATCGAGCTAAAGCGACCTGATCATTAACCCTCAATCCACTTGTTCGGCCGGAATATATAACCGGTTGACAACCTTGTTCATTAATGATGTGCATTCTGCTGGGATATTTGTGATCTCCTTCTTTGTCTCCATGGATGATCAAATTTTGCAACATAGCTTTGTCCGTCGATGGAACTGGGCAGATTGAGGGGGGAGAACAGCATCAGTAGAATATAGTGACGTCTGGCTGAGGTGCTGCTCAGATTATTGGTTATAACTCGGTATCTATTGACCACAGTTTTGTTGGTATGTACACAGCTAGCTTAATATTTGAACTGCGATGTCTATTGACCACAGTTTTGTAGCCTTTCTCCGCCGATCCAAATGGGCATATTGAGGAGGGAAAACACCATCATGAGTAGACAGAATTGGGACAACACTGCATTTCTTCTATGTCATGTTAAATAAAAGGAATAAAAGAAACGTAGGGTGGCCAATGAATATTAGATGTTTGCTTTACTTCTCAAATAAAAACAAAGACAAGAAATGTAGGTCAGCTAAACGATCCAATCCAGTTAAATAACTCATTTTCGGTTTCATTTATTGGCTAAAATAGGAATTAGATGCTTGACTGGATGTTAAACGCTTTTAACCGAAATCAGACAGTTCTTATTCAATGCCATTTTGAATCGCCGGAGGCACACATACTTCTCAAAATGGTATCATCTAGCTCAAATTTAATATTAAAAAAAAATCTGATCTCTGCCCGAATATTATTTCCACAATCTCTATCCACTTCGATTACCTTCAGATTCCATCTCATGCAAAAAAATCAGAATCAATCCCACACAAAAAAATTCAATCTTCTTCTCCCTTCTCCTCTAGTGAGGCGGGTCGGGTTTGGCCTGGGGAGATAACGAAGAGACAGGGTGAGAAGAAAATAAGAGATAGGGTTTTGGTGAAGGGTTCTCAAACTTAGATAGCCTTTCGTTTTCTCGTTGCTATATATACTGCTGGAGTTTTACAGAGAAAGGTAAAGTAACAAATGGCTACTATACAGTAAAAATGGAAACGACTTTTCTAATCCAGCCTATAGAAGCTATACAAGTGTCGACTATAAAACTAACTACTGCTACTAGTGGAAAGCTGTCGTTCTACACAATAGAACAAAAGATCCTTCTTGTTCCTCTGTTGTGTTGATTTAATGTAGAAGAAAGGATTGAGGTGGAAGTTACGTTGAAGAAGAGACTAGATTTTTAGGGTTTACATGGGTTGCGTATTTGGGGCGGGCGAGGGTGGGGTCGTGAGCTTGTTGAGTTTGAGATTCGTTTTTTTGGTTAAAACCTGCTTAAATTGGATCGGTTTGGTGCGATTTTAACCTCGCCCCATAATTGGAAATAAAATCTTGGGTAAACATCATTGGTTAAACCCAAAGGATAGAAATTCACGTCTCTAGGATGTGAATTTCAAGTTGGTCCATCAGAAATTACTCGACTTGATTTTTGTTGAGCGGATAATACCTCACTAGTAGTAGTATGGGGTAGGGTATGGATATTACTTTCGTTTTGTCCTCCTTTCTATCTCGAATTGTTTCAACGTCTACTGTATTTATCCTATTTTGAATCATTTTTTCATCCAATGATACTTGGATAAGTGCAGGACTTCATCATCCGACTAATTGGGCTCAATTAATATATTTATTATCTCTATTCTTCATTTAAGCACTATTTTCCCTTTGTTTTATTGTTATAATATAAAAATTTCTTCACATAATATATAAACAAATATCGACATGCCTAATCTATATACGCACGGATATTGACCTACCTGATTCACACTTTATATGCAAAATGGTATAGGTATTAAGGTACCCACCTTACTCAAACATAATCATTGCACACTCTATACATCTTCTCTCCAACTATTCGCAACGGAGGTTCTCTAGGTCAAAGGTGGCCCAAAAAGTTCATCTACATCATTGTCATGATGAATTACAATTTTAATCCAAGTTACTCGAACCGATATGTTCACATCTATTCAAATTGGGACAGACATAGGTATCAATTTCACGATGCCTCTTCTCGACTTGGTGTATCCTGATTGGTCTCACTCTTTACTTTTATTTTCTTATTGAATTTATTTTTTTATCAAGAAAAATTGGTTTGAAGATCCACCGCGAGGGTGGGAAGCCTTACCTAGAGTGCAGGTAATAAGAAGCCCGAGATCCATTTTCGTCCCTGTCAGGGGAGATGCCAGCCATCTCTCCTTTCTTAGAGGATTCTTGAACGATATTTTAACCTTGATGAAGCTTTTATTAGGTGCAAGAATCCACATTTTGATAAATTATGGGAAGGGATAGGGTAAAAGTTCCTATCTACAAAACTATTACAAAACCCCATCATTCATCCTCCATCTCATCCCCATTCTATTGGCCCAAAATCATATCATCGTGGTATGACAGTAATTTGAAGACTCATCTTCTTCATTTAACTCAAAATTTTAAAAAGTTTGTATAGAAAGAACGCATTTATAAAGATCTATACATATGGTATCCATTTTTATATGTTTTGCCAAGCATAAGATCTCATACCAACATCATATCACTATCATATCAATCATATCATCGTGATATGACAGTGGAATGATGACCAATCTCCTTAATTTTAACTCGGAATTTTAAAAAAGTTGTATAGAAAGGACGCATTCATTAAGATCTACCCAATGATATCTATGTTATTATGTTTTATCAAACCTAACTACCTAAGGCTTCATGTCAACATCATATCACTGTTATATCATGATATTATCAATATGATATGACAATGATATGACATTGATAATACCGTGATATAACATGGATTTGATGTTGTTAAATTGTTTTCTCAAACATCAACATAAGTCTTCATACCAATATCATATCACTATCCTTCCAACATCATTAATTAAGATCTACACGATAATATCCATTTTGTTATATTTTGTCAAATATGAGACCTTATGCCCACGTCATATCACTGATATATCATGATATTATCACATTATACCAACATAAGTGCTCATATCACTGTTATATCATGATATAGTGATAATATCGTGAAATGAAGTGATATGATATCATCAAATTATTTTGTCAAACATAAGACCTCGTACCAGCATCATATCATTATCATACCAACATCATAACATTATCGTGTCAGCATCATACCACTGTCACTCTGTCGGTTATAATATCGTTATATGACAGTGGTATAATACCGTAAAAAATCTATTTCCAAAAATATAAAAATGGATATAAATTTTTGGAGGACAAATTTTTTTATTTCTCAATGCAATATTTTTTGCAATCTTCGCATGTATTACCCAACATGACTGTACTTGGTATGAGACGAGTAAAAGTATTGAAACACTCTGTATTCCCCTGGTCTAGTGTCATTCACAATTAGTAGTCTATATTATCATGTCAGAATAGGTCGCAATTGGATCGGATTAGATTCATGGAATTGTGGATTAATGAATTGGATTAAATGAATTGGAGGATTCATGTATTAAATTCGTAAAATTGATGGATTTAGGTGGCATGTGAAACTTGGACCATTATGAAAATTTAAAAGGTTACAGTACTAAAATGTCGTCAACTATAAAATATTTGTACAAATTTAGAAATTAAAATAATTAATAATGTTTTAGATCATTCTCCAATTGCGACAATTACAATCAGTCTTAGTTTGGCTCATCTACATGGATGTTAAGTTTCTGTCAGTTCAGTATATTAGATCCAAAGAGATAAACCTTTTTCATAGCCATAGTTTACTGCTCAGCTGTAAGACTAACAAACTAACTTAAATACTACATCGAATATTCAGCCTCATGCCATTAGCTTCCCAAAGACTCCAACATTCCTCCCTCGAGTGTGTATATATATCCTCACCCTTTCCTCTAATTCTTACTCCTAAACACTACACGAACAATACTAGCGCTGATATCTGATTCAAAAGGGAACCGTTAACCTTACCTCAGCATATTCATTACTCTGTTTGTTCGGTTGCCATCGTCATGGATGAGTTCTCTGTTTCTTCGAGGGAGGAAGACGGCCAAGAATTCCTCAAGTGTGCTCGATCAGAGAAGCTCCCCACTTCTGATCATCTCCGGAGAAGCGTGTTGTCCGGTTCCATATCTGAACTCAGCCAGATCGTCCACAACCTTGGGATCAAGGACAAGAAAGTTCTGCTCGACCACCTTGCTAAAGTTGCTGACCAAGACAACGACAAGTTCTTGTCGAAGATCAAGAGCAGACTCGACAGGTACGTCACTGCATTTTGTTACTTGTTTGATGGGAACAGAAAAGAAACCGAAAATAGAGCATCATATACGGAAACTAGACCGAGAACAGGGGAACTCTGTTTTTCTTAATTATTTCCTCTGTATTTTCCTCTTCTGATTTTGGGCTTGTGGTGTTTGTGAAGGGTTGGAATGGAGCTTCCGACGATTGAAATCCGATATGAGCATCTCAATGTTGAAGCAGAAGCTACAGTTGGGAGCAAATCTCTGCCCACGTTCACCAACTTCACTCTAGGAATCTTCATGGTAAAATGAACAATCGTGTAAAATGAAAGTTTGTTTCTTTGCTTTCAGCTTTTTTTTTTTTTTTTAGCTAAATGTTCCATGAAACTGATAAGAAACCTTTCATTCAATGTTTAATAGAGTATCTTGAATGGATTGCACCTCCTACCCAACAGAAAGAAACATCTGACGATTCTCAACGATGTTAGTGGAGTCATCAAGCCCGGGAGAATGACTCTGCTATTGGGTCCTCCGAGTTCTGGGAAAACAACACTGTTGCTAGCTTTGGCTGGAAGGCTGGATCCCAATCTCAAGGTTTCAGGGAGAGTAACATACAATGGTCACGATATGCATGAGTTCATCCCACAGAAAACTTCAGCTTATGTTAGTCAGCATGATGTTCACATGGGAGAGTTAACTGTCAGAGAAACTTTAGCCTTCGCGGCAAGAGTCCAAGGAGTTGGATCTCTTCAGGGTTTGTTCTTTCTCGTTGCGAACACTTTTGATTGTTCATCCATGGCTGCTTGCTAAGTCACATTAACTGATTGTGGGGAAAATCTGCAGATATGTTGGAAGAATTGTCCAGAAGAGAAGAGGCAGCAAGTATCATACCCGATCCTGATATTGATGACTTCATGAAGGTGACTCAAGGCTTCACTACTGTAATTCTGTTAGCATAGTGCAATCATAGTTAGTTGATATTTGTCCTTCTTTATTCGGTACCTTAGGCTTCAGCAACTGAAGGTCTTGCAAGCATTGTCGTCACAGACTACGTTTTGAAGGTAACAATAATTAAGTTTGATATTGCTCTTTAACAAAGATTTATAGATTTTAATTCGATTGAATCTTCATAGATATTAGGACTGGAAGGTTGCGCAGACACTTTGGTGGGTAATGAAATGATCAGGGGTATCTCTGGAGGACAAAAGAAGCGTGTCACAACCGGTAAAACAAAAATCCACCATCTCTTGACCCGCTGCTTTCGGAATACCTAAATGAAAGCTTATAGTTCAAACCCAAATTCATGAATTTACAGGTGAAATTTTGGTTGGACCGGTAAGAGCCATGTTCATGGATGAAATCTCAACCGGTTTGGATAGTTCCACAACATTCCAGATTGTGAACTCACTGAAGCACCAAAATCACATCCTCAATCGCACTACAATCATCTCCCTCCTCCAACCCGCTCCCGAGACATACGACCTCTTTGATGACATCATCCTGTTGTCGGATGGGCAAATTGCTTACCAAGGCCCATGTGAAAACGTGCTCGAGTTTTTTGAGCACATGGGTTTCAAGTGTCCTGATAGGAAAGGAGTTGCCGATTACTTGCAAGAAGTGAGTGAATGAGAACACTAACGTTGTTGATTTCCCAATTATCATCGCGATAATATTGATAGGATTGCTCTTTTCTTTGTTTTCAGGTCACATCTAAGAAGGACCAGAAGCAATATTGGGCTAGAAGGGATCACGCGTACCGTTTCATTACGACTAAGGAGTTTGCCGAGGCGTTCAAGTCATTCCACATAGGAAGGAAGATTGGTGATGAACTATCAATTCCTTATGATAGAAGCAAGAGCCACCCTACTGCTTTGGCAACCAAAAAGTATGGAATTGGGAACAAGGAACTTCTTAAGGCCAACTTTGCAAGAGAGTTCCTGCTCATGAAAAGAAACTCATTTGTCTACATCTTCAAGCTCACTCAGATATTAATCATGGCACTGTTGACTATGACAGTCTTTTTTCGGACCAGAATGCACCGAAACACGATCCAGGATGGATGGATATTTATGGGTGCTCTCTTCTTCACGTTGATCACGATCATGTTCAAAGGAATGTCTGAAATTCCAATGACCATTGCAAAGCTTCCAGTGTTCTATAAACAAAGAAATATGTTTTTTTATCCACCATGGATATACTCCATCCCCCCATGGATCCTCAAGATTCCCATCACCTTCCTTGAAGTTGGTATTTGGGTTTCCCTGACTTACTATGACGTCGGTTTTGATCCCAACTTTGGAAGGTGAGTTAAAGACTCTGAGAGATTGATTCTAATATTTGATTCCCAATTTAGTTAGCTTGCTTCTAAACACACCAAGTGTTGTAACATTTAATATGACAATGCAGGTTGATTAGATTCTATGTGTTGTTGGTAGCAATTAATCAGATGGCATCTGCTCTCTTTCGATTCATCGCTGCAACTGGAAGGAACATGATTGTTGCCAACACCTTTGGCTCATTTGTTCTACTTTCCATCTTTGCATTGGGTGGATTCATATTGTCACCAGGTTAGCTAGTTAACTCTTTCTTTTTCACTTTGACCTTATATTTCACATAACTAACTTTCCTTTTGATCTTTCAATTAAAGATTACATAAAGAAATGGTGGAAGTGGGCCTATTGGGTATCACCGATGATGTACGGGCAGAACGCGATAGTCATCAATGAATTCCTTGCACATAGTTGGAGCCACGTAACATCCTTGCTCCTGCTGCAATAATTGTCGAACTCCTCTCTTTTTGTTATTCTTTTCTATTGCTTTGAATCTCCAATACTTTCTTGTGTCCAGGTTTCGGCAAACTCAAACTCAACGAAATCATTAGGAATTCAAGTGTTGAGGTCTCGTGGGTTCTTCACAGACCCACATTGGTATTGGCTAGGATTGGGAGCGACTCTAGGTTTCTTGTTCCTTTTTAACATTGCCTTTGCTTTCGCCCTTACTTTCTTAGATCGTAAGTAACCCCATCCAAGTATTCATCATTCAATTCTCATGCTTCTCGCACAAGAAACCATATTTGCTCGTGAATAATATCTTCATTTGTTGAAAAGCACAGGCTTTGAGAAGCCTCAAGCTATCATGCCTATTGACGAGGCCACAACTTTAATAGAAGCCAATGAGATGTCAACTTGTGGCTCCTCTAAAACCATGCTTGTAGATGATGAAGCTAGTCGAAACAAGAATGAAGGAATGGTTCTTCCATTTGAACCCCATTTCATAACATTTGAGGATATTATATACTCTGTTGATACACCAAAGGTTAGTCAGTATGAGAAGTAGTAGATAGAAAGAAAATGACATTTAGGCTTTGTTTTTGTTGTTAGGGTCAAATACTAATGACCCATTTTTTAATCTTTCTTTGGCCTCCAGGAAATGGAATACCAAGGTTTCCCCGATGATAAACTGGTTCTTCTGAAAGGTATTAGTGGTGCTTTCAGGCCAGGTGTTCTAACGGCTCTTATGGGAGTCAGTGGTGCAGGCAAAACAACTCTTATGGATGTGCTTGCTGGAAGGAAAACCGGTGGATATGTTGAAGGAAACATCATGATTTCGAGGTTCCCTAAGAAGCAAGAAACTTTTGCTAGAATATCAGGATATTGTGAGCAAAATGACATCCATTCTCCACAAGTTACTGTATACGAGTCTCTTGTTTACTCAGCTTGGTTGCGTTTACCCCAAGAAGTTGATGATAAAACCAGAATGGTAAGCTTCCATCCTCAGCTACATCTTCCTTAACATATTTCTGGTTTTTCAATTGCGTATAGGCATTGAATCAATCTAAGCATTAACTTGTACTTTTACATATCTGTAATAGATTTTTGTTGAAGAAGCGATGGATCTTATTGAGCTAAACCCCTTGTGTGACTCTCTTGTTGGAATCCCTGGTGAGAGTGGCTTGACAACTGGGCAACGCAAGAGGCTAACCATTGGAGTTGAGCTAGTTGCTAATCCATCCATTATCTTTATGGACGAGCCGACCTCAGGGTTGGATGCTAGAGCTGCTGCCATTGTCATGAGAACGGTAAGAAACACAGTCGACACAGGTAGAACAGTAGTTTGCACCATACATCAGCCCAGCATTGATATCTTTGAATCTTTTGATGAGGTAAACTATTGCTAATCAATTATCATGATTATTAAAACCAAAAGAAGCGACAATCAACTTCTAAAAATTACCCTTTGGGACTTTTGTAGTTGTTTCTTTTGAATAGAGGAGAGGAGATATATGTGGGTCCATTGGGGAGCCACTCAGCCCACTTAGTGAAATACTTTGAAGAAATACAAGGGGTGAGAAAGATCAGAGATGGGTACAACCCGGCAACATGGATGTTAGAGGTTACCAGCAGTGCACAAGAGATAGCTTTAGGAGTTGATTTTGCACAAATTTACAGGAAATCAGATCTCTATAAGAGAAACAAAGCTCTCATCGCGGAGCTAAGCAAGCCGGTTCTAGGTGCCAAAGAACTCTACTTCCAAACCAGATACTCCCAACCATTCTTGATGCAGTGCATGGCCTGCTTGTGGAAGCAGCGCCAGTCCTACTGGTGCAACCCTTCATACACCGCAGTCAGATTCTTATTCACAACCTTTATCGCCCTTATGTTTGGAACCATTTTCTGGGAACTCGGGAACAAGAGAAGTAGGAATCAAGACCTTTTCAATGTAATGGGTGCTATGTTTGCCACAGTGTTATTCCTTGGTGTCCAAAATGCATCTTCTGTGCAACCAGTGGTATCCATTGAAAGAACTGTGTTCTACAGGGAGCGAGCTGCTGGGATGTACTCGTCTTTATCGTATGCCTACGCCCAGATGATCATAGAGATCCCCTACATCCTCGCCCAAGCTCTGGTATATGGAGTGATCACATACACTATGATTGGATTCGAATGGGACGCGAAGAAGTTCATGTGGTACGTCTTCTTCATGTACTTCACACTCCTCTACTTCACTTACTACGGGATGATGAGTGTTGCCATCACGCCAAATCACCACATTGCCTCCATCATTTCTACGTTCTTCTATTCTATCTGGATGCTCTTTGCTGGATTCATCGTCCCTAGACCTGTAAGTCAATCATCATCATCATATATAAATTGCCTTAATTACATTAATGCTCTTCATTAAGACCTGCTATAACGAATTGAGTAATGCTTTTCTTTTATTGACATTTGACCCTTGTAATCTACAGCTCATCCCTGTTTGGTGGAGGTGGAACTACTGGGCCAATCCGATCTCATGGACATTGTATGGGCTAATTGTGTCACAGTATGGAGATGTGACGACATCCATGGAAGGAACAGGGGAAACTGTTGAGGATTTCTTGAGGAGCTACTTCGGTTTCAAGCATGATTTCTTGGGAGTGGTTGCCGCAGTTATGGTCGGATTGGTAGTCGTTTTCGCCTTCTTCTTTGCCATCTCCATCAAGTGTTTCAATTTTCAGAAAAGATAAAAAAAATCAACTGATAAAGTGAAACAAAAAATAGTGAGTCAAACGCATTCCATCTATTTTGCCTTTTGTTGTTGTTGGCATTTTTAGGGACTTTAGCCTTTTATTATAGCTACTTTTATGTTGTTTAGGTAATTTTGATGCCAATTTTCCTTCCTTTTTGTTGTTGTTGGTGTTGTAACTTTTAGGCAACTCATTATTGGTCATTTTTATTGCTTTGTACTAGATTTTTTATATGTTATGTAACTGAATTTTTTTATATGTTGATTGCTACTATGATCTAAGAGAGGCATAAACGTGTAAAACATTTCATCATAATTATTTATTTATTACTTAATTTTTCATCTATACCTACTATGTCCTGTTCCTATATTTTTCCCTTCTTAATTAAGGGTTAATACTATGGTAATACATGTACTTTAAGACTTTTGTTATTCATGTCCCATTTTTTGTATTTCATTAGAGAGCCTATATTATTAGAATTTACTTCATTAGTGCCATCAACTCTTCAATTGATCGAATTATTTAAAGATTGACCAGACACTTGGAACACTTTTTTGACTTTTCATGACATGGCAAAAGAGATGTGAGAGAGAGACTTTGAGAGAGAGAGGGAGTGCGTCCGGGAGAGAGGTATGATTTCTTTTTGCAGGTCCTCGCCGGCGGGAGAGGCGGAACGCGAAGCGTCGAGATGGAAGCTTCTTCAACAGGTCGCTATCGGCGCCAAAAGGGTTTATCTGGATCACTTGGAAATGCGGGGCGCTAAGATGTTCGGACTAAGGGTTGCGGACAAGGGGAAACTGTCAAAAATCCATAATCCACAATTCTCTTCAAAGCTCTAGACATCTCCATATGAGTCCCATGTGCAGAATATTGGAGAAAAACTCAACTACCCAACTACCTACATTATTGGAACTAAAATAATAGAAATAAACTCAAGCCACAAACTAAACCTACCACCAATGTATTTGCTACGTGTATAGGTGGTGGAAAGCCTTGTCATGGCAATATAAATAGAAAGCCTCATTGAGGCATGTAAGGTAGAGTGAGCTAGAGAGCATAGGCTCCTCTCAAGGGTTAAGGCAACAAACTTGCCTAATCCGTTATGGGAAAATGTGGGCAGTGTTTGTGAGGGTAGAAGTAGAACAATCAAGAGCAGTAGCTCTAATGTAAAAGGCAACAATTGCCTAGTTGTGTGAGATATTAGAGTGAAATAATTTCCTCTGTTATTTTCGATCCTAAACCTACTACATATTTCCGCTGTGCCCCAACAGAAACAACATCATATTCTCTTTCATCGGAACTTGAGAAGGTGGCTTGGTGGCGTCCTCCAAACTGCAGAACTGAAGAAGTGGTACTTGTCGGGAAGGGATATCAAGCGTAGCGGATGCAGGGTTTTACACATCGGGAAATCGCGAAATCATCGGGGAAGCTAGCTATATCAAAATATCAGAATCAGTGAATGCGGAAAGGACTTTCTGTGTCATTATTCCGGAAGATGATCAATCGGTTGGGTGGAGGAAGATCATTCGCATGCTTCATGACCAACCCTCTCCGTCTAGACAAACCAGCGGAGACACCACGGTGGCAAGAACTAAATCCTACGCTGAGGTTGATCGATCAAAAGAGTTCAACTTTATAGGAGAGGCGCGTATCTCTTCTAGAGGACGAACTAAAGTCATAGAAGTTCTTGAGAATGGTGTACATGACAGATTGGAGGCCCTGAACCTGAAGTGCTGTGTAAGGATGACCTTTCAAAGTACCTCTGGGAATTATTTTCAGAGCAGCTTGATCCCTGCCTTCCAATCATGGGCGATGTCTCGATGGGCTTTGTCAGGAGAATGTAAGGTCTTGGCGGGAGGTGATAATGATTGGTGGCTTGTCTGTTCGAGTGCTGCCGACGCGGGACGAGTCTCCGCAATAGGTCAAGTAAACTTCCAGGATTTCGAAATCAAGCTTGAACCATGGCAGGAGGAGGACGGGAGAAATTCCGGGTCTCATGATAATTCAGTACGTAAGAATCAAGATCCATGTTTCGGAGACGATCCCTGAAGAAGTCCCCATTTTCTTTGGATCACGTTTACTCCCCATCCGCATCATGACCATGCCTGTCACGTCGCCGGCAGTAAGCAATCTGTTGGGCATGTGACTCGGGCCTAGTCGCGCCAAAGAACAAGTCGGGCCCGGCCACGTCGAGGAACAGGGCGCGACTGGATGGACCCCGACATGGCAGCGCGAGGACCCCGAGCGCCACGCCGCATCGTAGTCAACCACGTCTTGGCGCGAAGAGCTTAGGCACGAGGCGAATTACAAGCGCCGAGGGAGAGCATAGCGTAGGCCAAGCCAAGAGAGAAGGGGAGCGTAGCTTTCCTTCCCAAGAGGCAGTCACATCAGGGCCATTGACGGGTCTCTGACACGTCCTAGGTAGAGGGATGGCCTGGACAGGGCCTAAAATCCTTAGTGTGTCAGTGGTCACATCATTGTATCCCAATAGTCACATCGTTGTATCCCCACTTGAGTCAACCACTCACCCACCACAACGAAGCCTATAAATACGGCATTTACTGCGGTGGGTGAGGGGATGGCATTTTTTCACCATTCTCCCTCTATAGCAACTACTTCTCTTTCTAGAAATCGGATCCTCGTTCTCTCTCACTCTTTAATTCTCGTCCCTCCAATCGACCCTAGCACTCGCGTTTCTTCTTGACCCACACTCTCACTCGAACCTCACTCCTACTCTCAGTTAGGTTCAAACAATTGGCGCCCACCGTGGGGCAAAGAAGAAACGCTAAAGAAAACCCCCAATGGCAGAGCGCAACCACGACCAACCTGACCAAGCAACGCCGATCAAGGCAATGACCGACCCGAGGGCGTTCGCGGAAGCCAGCAACCTCAACGCTGTGCTCATCGAAGAAGAGGAGCCCGAGCTGACAGCCAAAGAAATGAGGGATTTGGTGATGAAGCAAAACAACGTCATAGCCGACATGCAGAAACAAATGAGCCAGGTCATCGCGCTCATGGCGAGCAGGGAGAGCGCACCAATGATAGGCACGACAGCGGACGCGCCTCAACCAGCCTTGACGGTTGCGCCTCAGCCAGCCTTGGGAGAAACGTCGGGGACAGCCCAGCTACCCCAACGCGCGCCGACAGAACTCCCCGCGTGCGAAGTGCCGGGAGTCGAACTATCAGGGCGGGCGGACCTCAGCTTCTTAGAGCAACACCTGTCTCCGCAATCCCGACCCAACCCGCCCAAAAGGGTTCTCCACCAGCCGCTGAGCGCGCAGATAATGGCGGAGAACCTCACAGGAGCGACACCCACCCTCCCAACGTACAACGGCACGACCGACCCGGAAGACCATGTAAGCATCTTCTGCTTACGTATGCAACTCCAAACCAACTCCAACGCCACGCTGTGCAGAACCTTCCCGTCGACGTTCGCCGGCATATGCCTCGACTGGTACAACCGCCTCCCGAACGGAATCATCCGCTCATTCGAGGAGTTCATACTTCTGTTCACAACGAAGTTCGCGTCCCAGAAACGGCGCCCACTTCACCTCAAGGCCCTGATAGATGTCAGGCAAAAAGATGGAGAAGGCCTGAGAGCTTTCTACGCCAGATGGTCCAGGGTAGCAATGGCTGTCCGCGACCTTACCCCCGAAACGGCCGCCCATCATCTCATGGAGGCCACCAGCAATATGGAGCTCAAGCGGGCGCTAGCAAAAAGACCCGTCACGCTGTCAACAGAGTTAGAGATGAAGATCGAAAAGGCAATCACGTTGGAGGAAACCCTGGGCGCAGGATCCGTCAGGCGCTTCGAACCAGCAAAAATGCCGCGAGAAGAACAAGCACGTCGCCAGCCTCCAGCCCCAATCCCACGAGACCAATTGCTGCAGATGCACAGTGGCCCAAAGCGCGTCCCTCCCCCCCCCCCCCCCCCCCCACCAGAGCAGGCGCAGCGCGGGCGATCGCCAGACAGGCGCGCGCCCAACGCCTACACTCCCCTTAATGACTCCGTGAGGAATGTGTTCCACGTCCTCCGCGAGAAGGGTTACAAGCTCAACTGGCCTGCCCCGTTGAAATCCCAGCCTTACATGCGCAATCCCAATAGGCATTGCGAATTCCACAGAGCAACGGGGCACCAGACGGAAGACTGCCGCGAGCTGAGGTACGAGATAGAGGGCCTCATACGGCGAGGGTTGCTAACCGAATTCGTTCACGTGAAGAAAGAACAAGTTGAGGCCCCACAGCATCCGCCGCCACCACCACCACAAGCCGAATACGACGATGACACAGGCGCGTATGTAGTGCGCAAGGAAATCGGGGTGGTGACGGTTGAAGGAGATCGTCCCCGGAAGAAAACCAAGCGGGAGCGCGCGACAGAGTGCGCGGCCGTCGACGCGCCGACAAAGTTCAACCTGAGCTTTGATGACTCGGAATTCCCACAAGGAGTCCCGTCGGAGGAGCCACTCATTGTCACCGCGCTAATTGCCGCCTGCAAGACCCACCGCCTCCTGGTAGATGGGGGTAGCGCGGCCGACATCCTCTTCCAGAGTACCATTGACAAAATGGACATCGACCCGCGCCTAATCAGGCGCGCGCAAGGCAACCTGGTTGGTTTCTCTGGAACCAGAGTCCCGGTGATTGGAGTGGTCACCCTCCCTGTGGTGGTCGGCGACCAGGAGCCTCGCGTCTCCAAACAAGTAGAGTTCACGATTGTCAACTGTGAATCGGCGCACAACGGCATCCTTGGCCGGCCTTTCCTTGCGAGGTTCATGGCCCTCCCGTCGACGTGCCACAAGAAACTCAAGTTCCCAACACAGAGAGGAGTAGGGGAAGCACGGGGAACGACATGGGAGGACCGCGTTGTGACTCGACAAACCAACATCGTCGACACAAGGGCGGAAGAGCCCCGACCGGAGTCCATGGATTCCTATTTTGAGGTCGCGCTGGACCCCGCCGAGCCGACTAGGAAGATACGCATCTCCACTCACGTCAGCAGCGACGCAATCGAGCCGCTTGTGACGCTGCTGAAGGAGTACAAGGAGCTGTTCGCGTGGTGCACAGAAGACATGCCAGGAGTGCCCAGGGAGGTGGCCCAACATAGCCTTGCCGTCCCAGCCAACGCGCAGCCAAGGCAACAAGGGCGGAGATCCTTCACGGGCGACAAGCTAAAGGCGATAGAAGAAGAGGTGGCGCGCCTACTAGCGGCTGGATTGATCCGACCCGTGAAGTATCCAAAGTGGCTGGCAAACGTGGTCTTGGTCAAGAAATCGTCAGGAGCCTGGCGGATGTGCGTCGACTACACCACGATCAACAAAGTGTGCCCAGGAGACCCTTATCCCCTGCCACGTATTGACCAGCTCATCGAC